TGATCACTTCTTTTGAATTGGTGAGGCAATGTCTAAAATTGATCTCATGCTCAAGTGGGAGAATGCTAGAATATGAGCGTAAGATTAGGTATTTTGGCATGTGGTGTTTAAGTCCAATTAGTTAATTTAAAGAAAGCCTTATTAGAAGATGAAAGTAGATCTTTGTTTAGGAAGGATTCTGCTATAATATCAAGCTGATGAAGGATGGAAAACAATTACTGTTTTCCGTATGGATTCTAATAAGGAGTCCTTATTTGGTTATGACAATGATTATATATGCCTATATATATTGGAACCTCTGCTCTCGCAGTACAACGCTCACTTCTGCAACTAAGTCTTATTATTAGTTTAAGCACAAAGTGTACTGACAAAGAGGAAAAGGTCCTGCTGCGATCATTCAAGCTTCATAACTTCATGGCATCATCAAGTGGGAATTCTTCAGGTTAGTTTGTAGTATTTAGTTAATGGATTAAGGTTTTGTGTTTTGATTTCTTATGATTCGTGAGACTAAATCTTTCTTATGGTTTAATAGTTTACAAGAAGGCCATACATGAGACATCTAAGACTCGTTTTGAACTGCTTTTAAAATGACTGAAAACACTTTTAGAGAAAATATTTTTGGATTCCTAAGGCACTTGTAGTGCTTCCTACAATAAGTACTAATATATGTGTTTCTTGTAGGAAGCACTTCAAGTTATTTTCCAATATGCACCTGCATTTTTATTAAGGATTGGTTCTAAAAATACTTTCACCAAAAGCACTTTCAACCAATTTAAAAACACTACCAAACGTGGGCTAATTAATTCTCAATAAGTCACTGCTTACTATTGGATTTTTCCAACCCATTATGAGTTGTCTTAAGGCTACTAGGAAATACTCTTAGAGATTAAGTTGTTTTCCTAATTGAAGTTGTTTCTCAACTGTAGTAGCTTTCGTAATTGGAGTTGGTTACCCAATTGGAGTTGTTTTCCCAATTGAAGGTGTTTACCCAATTTAAGTTGTTTACCGAATTTAAATTGTTTACTCCATATAAATTGTTTACTCAATTGGAGTTAGTATTTCTCAATTGAAGAAGGATCATAACTAGATTCGAATTAGAATTAGTAATCCTTATTGAAGAAGAAGACCTTTATTATGTCTATATAAAGGGACTATTGTACTAGTTTTGAATTGGAGCAAAACAATAAGTTGTATACTACTCAAGGAGTCAAAGTGAAAGAATGACAAAGTGTGTGTGAGAGAAAAGAAAGAGATAAATAGTGTATTTCTTGTTCTTGTTCTTTCAAGTTTTTCGTCATCTTAATCCTAGAGGCTTGGCAAGATTATCCGTTGTACACATTATTGATATAGTGAAAAATTGTTGTAGCTACCTCATGGACTTAAGCACATACAACGGAACCACGTTAGTTCTTGGTGTTATTTATCTTGGTTATTTGCTTTTAATTCTCAAGTTTTGTTTGTTTTTTCCATTCTTAAGCAATGTTCATAACAAGTGGTATCAAAGTTTGTTTGGCTGATATCCGTTTAGAATAAAGCATGCGACCCGCTTTAACTAAGTTACATGGAAATCGAAAATGGAAGACATGCTTTATTAAAGGTGTTAAGAGCAAGCCAGCAAGTATGTGTGATGATGATTGGACCAAGATGAAGATGAGCAATGGTTTTTGGCAAAGAAGTCTACAATTGCCTTTGCTAATGATGAAGAGTTGTTTGATCAGGGAGAGCCTACTTAATAGATGTCTGATAAAGAGGAGCTTGGTCAAGAGATGTTCGATCAGGGGAGTCTAGTCATGGGTTTTGCGATTAGGAAGAACCCAATCAAGAAAAGTTTGATCAAGATGAGCTTAGTTAAGAGATGTTCAATCAAGAGGAGTTTGGTCATTGGTATTTCGATTAGGTAAAGCCTAGTCAAAAGAAGTCTAATCAAGTGGATCTTGGTTAAAGAGGAGGGGAGTCTGGCCATAGTAGTTCAATCAAGGGAGCCTGGTTATGAGTAGTTCGATTATAAGGAGTTTGTTCATGAGTAGTTCGATTAGGGGGAGCTTAGTGACGATAAGTTCGATCAATGGGTTTTTGATCAATTGGAACAATCCTATTTTGGTATACCTTCCTCATGGTCTAAAGGGGAAGGTTGTTGGGTTTTTCCAACCTATGATGAGTTGTCCTAAGGCTATTGGCAAATATAGTCTTAGAGGATTAAGTTGTTTTCCCAATTGAAGTTGTTTCTCAATTGGAGAATGATTCATAACTAGATTCCAATTAGGATTAGTAATTCTTATTGAAGAAGACCTTTATTATGTTTATATAGAAGGAATATTGTACTAGTTTTGAATTGGAGCAAAACAATAAGTTGTATACCACTTAAGAGTCAGAGTGACAAAAGGGCAAAGAGTGTGTGTGAGAGAAAAGAAAAGAGATAAATAGTGTATCTCTTGTTATTGTTCCTTTAGGTTTTCTTCAAGTCTTAATTCTAGAGGTTTGGCAAGATTATCCATTGTACTCGTTATTGATTGCTACCCCCGTGAATGTAGGCACATATTGCCGAACTACGCTAATTATTGATGTTATTTATCTTGGTTATTTGTTTTTTATTTCCGAATTTTGTTTGTTTTTTCTTATTCGTAAACGCGATATTCACAACATTTACTAAAGTGTGTGTGTGTGTGTAAATGTAATGAGCAGTACAGTAAACTTCGAATAAGTGGATTCACTTAAACAAAACGCATATAGAAGTATTGAAGCAATGCAACTATGTACTTTGTAAAGAAGTTGACAAGAAAACAATGTATGTGATTAAGAAACTGTTTAGGCCCAAAATAATATGGTTGGGCCGAGCAGCAAGATGTGCTCGGCCCAAGGTAATGACAAATGTTATGGGCCGAATAATAGAACCCGGGCCAGCTGGCAGGGTCGGCCGAATCCCATCCTAAGAAGTCCAGGTGAGTAGAAAGGGTCGAGGAAGTCCTGGTGCGACCAGGATTCTTGACCAGCAAGAAATAAAGCTTCAAAAGGAGGAAAATTCAGAATCCCAGAAGGGGTAGGATTGTTCGAGCTAGAGGTAAAATGGGACAAGGACTCCCAATCCAAATCCGAATGGGTTTCAGGGAACGAGGTGCTATAAATACAAGAAATTACGCAATAGAAAGGACCTTCAGAACTCAACATACAATTGCCCTGCGTAAAACCTCTCAAACACCTTGAGATTTTTTCCTTTTCTTTTCCCTGCCGACACATCTTCAGTTTGGATAAACAGCACTGTGGAAGCACCCGTCGAGCACCTTCAGTTTGGATAAACAGCACTGCTGCCGCAGAATCAGCCGATCGAGGAGCACCTTCAGTTTGGATAAACAGCACTGCGTCGAGGTGGACCGATTATCTATCTAAGTCTCGGCCGAGAAGGGTTTTCGAGCCCTTGTTGGTAGAGGTCATCTTACTAAGCCTTTCCGGCATAGTAGGGTGTTACGAATTGCATTGCTCGGCGTATTGGACGCCGAGTGGTTTTATGATTGGATACTCGCAAGTAAGCTTCAGGGTTCGGCATTCCGACGGCCGAACTACGTTTACCATCAAGACATATATCACATTCGAGTACCTGTGCCCATATAGTTTGGTCTCGATTCGGCGTGCTTATACTCTTACGAATATAATCACAGTGACCGAATCAGGTTCCGACGACTTGTGAACTCCGTAGAATTAGTAGCCTTGTCTTCAGGCTATAGAACCCAGAGGCCGAGAGCGTTCCTTCCTCGGTCGCAATCGCAAGATACAGAAGTCAACAGCGCACCCAACGCGACATCAAATTTTACTCCTCGGCCGAGCTCGGCCGACGAGTTGGCACGCCCCGCATTCAACTGAAGGACGTAGTTAGCTCATTAGTTACTCGGCCTGCGCGCCACGTAGGTTTTGTAATTTTTAGAGTCAACAGAAACATGAACCTTATGTGGTGCAAAAGAAGAATGATGACGATGATAAACATGTATAATTTACAATTTAATCACTAGTAGGTTACGTATGTGATGAGCAAGGGCCGCCCATGCATGTCATATGTGTTTGGCTGCCAATGATTAAGTAATGTGATAGAGGAGAAAAATATGTCCTCGACCGCTGACTCATTAATTATTAAGAAAAGCGGATAAAGGGAATATTAGTTAAAACAATAAAGTAAACAATTTACTTGATCATCGGTCCAAAAGTTTTTTATGAGGACCATATATAGTAGAATTCACACGGTACGTACGCAGTGTTAGCTTAATTAAGTTGTCAATTCAATTACTCAATGATTTTAGTAGAAGGGGAATGAATGATATTGACCAGTGTTTAAGGCTATTTGATCGGCGACTTCTACGCCAGCCACTGCTCCGGGTTTCCTCCACGTGTCACGTGGCAAAACTCACAGATTGATATATGAACTCATGTTACACAGAACCGACATATAGAAAACCATGGATATATGTTATATATATGAATGTATGTATGTATGTATGTATGTATATCTCATTCCTTACGTACGCAAGCGCGCGCCTTGCCAAATCGAGGCTGGGCAGAGGCTCTCCTTGGGCCCAATCTGAACCTCTATATCATCACATGCATGCCAATAATGCCACTTGCCCGCCGCCAAATAATCTTTGTCTCTCTCTGTCTCTCTCTATCTGTCATCTCGTGTATATTAAGCGTAAGCTATCACATGCATATAGTCTCATGTCTCCGTACATATCACTACGTAACACATGTATATCTAACCCTAAACCCTAAAATTCAACAATCGATCCGCCACGAGCAAATACAATATATACTACTTTTTGAATTTTGTTACTCCACCATTTTATAATTACCTACGCTGATCCGCTCATATGTACTAGTACGTATCAATAAGCAACTATAAATACCTCCAAAGTATTGTTTCTTTTTCAGCATCCAAATCCAATCCAGTTATTTACACCAATTACTTTCATCGAAATCTTATATCTATCCAACCCTACATCTGAAGTTTCATCACAAAAATGGCTTATACATCAAGCTTCTGGAGCAATATTCATAATTATTGTGTAGCAGCTGTAATGCTGTTTTTATCGATCAGCATGTCGTTGTCGCAGTCATCTAACGCAGCGGCAGTTAGCTACAATGTGATGAAGTTTGGTGCACAAGCAGATGGGACGACAGACTCGACGCAAGCATTCGTCAAGGCATGGGCGTCGGCGTGCAGCTCCGGCCAGGGCAATGCTGTTGTGTACATCCCCAAAGGAAGATTCTTGTTGAAGGCTGTGGTGTTTAGAGGTCCATGCAAGAACAGACAAGTTACAGTCCAAATAGACGGAACCCTTGTAGCCCCCACAGACTATAGGGCTTTGGGAAACTCAGGCTACTGGATTTTATTCATTAAGGTCACCGGACTTAGGGTCCTCGGTGGTTCCCTCGACGCCAGGGGGGCTGCATTTTGGGCTTGCAGGAAATCCGGCAAGAGTTGTCCTGTTGGAGCTAGGGTAAGTACGCATATATATGCGGTTTTAATAATTACTTACTATATTAATATAATATGTATAAATAATTATAATAATAAATGTATACATGTGCAGTCTATAACGTTCAACTGGGCAAACAAGGTTCTGGTAAGTGGTTTAACATCGATCAACAGTCAGGCAACCCACCTTGTAGTCAACAGCTGCAACAATGTGGTCATTCGAAACGTGAAGCTGATCGCTCCGAGCGAAAGCCCCAACACAGATGGTATTCATGTGCAGAGCTCTACCGGTGTCACCATAACCGGCAGCATCTTGCAAACCGGAGACGATTGCATAGCAATCGGTCCCGGCACCAGAAACCTCCATATGAGCAACATCAAGTGTGGTCCAGGCCATGGTGTAAGGTACAGTCGATCAGTCTTATTTATTTGTTTACAAGTTGGATTTATTAAGTAACACAAACTTGGGATGGGTATAATTAGGCATGTGTGTAGAAAAGATTAACTTAATAACCAGCCTAATTAAACATTGATTAAAAAATAGCCTAATTACGAATTAAAGTAGTGCTGCACATGATATCTGAATGTGATCTGATCTCTGTATATAATGCAGCATTGGAAGCCTAGGCAGGAATCTCCAGGAAGATGGCGTCCAAAATGTAACCCTAACGAATGCAGTGTTCAGTGGATCAGACAATGGAGTACGAATAAAGTCATGGGCCAGGCCCAGTACTGGCTTCGTTAGGAACATAATCTTCCAAAACATCATCATGAGAAACGTGAAAAACCCCATCATCATTGACCAGAATTATTGCCCCCGTAACCAAGGCTGTCCTTCTGAGGTAATAGTAATACTAACGTCCTATATTATATATATACTTCCTTAATTACTTATCAATTATTGGTTTATTTTTTTGTTCGTTTGATAGAGTTCAGGTGTGACGATTAGTCAAGTGACGTACAGAAACATACAAGGGACGTCGCGAACGGCAGAGGCAGTAACATTCGACTGCAGCCCAAGCACTCCATGCACTGGGATCAGATTGCTAGATATCAAGCTTACGTATCTGAATAAGGTTGCCACGTCATCGTGCAAAAACATTAGGGGAACCAGCACTGGACTGCTTATGCCAGATCCTTGCATATAGACAATCCTATTATTAAGGGAATTATTTGTGACTTTAATTTGCGCGTGTCTTGTGTGATTTTACAATATATCGATCGAGTTGTATGATCGTATCAAGAATAATTACCACTGATAAATGGTGATGGATGTGCACACCACACCACATGGATACGCAGTTATTGTAGAACTTCCATGGATGAGTGTTGCTTGCAGTAAATCAATTAATTAACACATGCAAAACACATGGATCGATCATCAGTAGTCAACTAATTTTCAACTTAAAATAAATATGGAACCGCAATTTAATTAGAAGAAGAAGAGAGATCAGCAGTAGTCATCAGATTGAAATTTAATGGTGGTGATGATCTGCTGCTGCTGCTTCTTAATTACATTTTGCACACACGTTACTAATTTGAATAACTGACTCCGTAGTCTGTTCTGGTACGATGGTATCAATATCATCAGGTCTCACACACAAATGCAAGTACGTCCGTTTGATTTGAAAGAAAGAAATAGACAACTGCAATGCATGCCGCAGTCTCGAATCTTGATTCTCAGTCAAAAAAGGATGCATGCCCAATTCATGCATCTCTAATAACAATAACATATATATGCCAATGGCGCTATGTCATTTTCCTTCAACAAACATTAGGTACGTGTCAACTTTATACACACACATACATTTTTGAAACTTAGTGGTAAATGATAAATACACATATGAAATGAAACGCATGTGAATTAATTATAAAGTACAAACAATTAAAGGTGTAATGTTTTTCATTAGGTTAATTCAACATTAATTTCATATATATATGTGTGTGTGTGTGTGTGTGTGTATCTATAGTTAAAATTTAGAAGACTTAATTGAGTCAGTATCAGTTTCAGTGTACAACAATGAAACATGGCTGCTCTCCAATTTCAGTTTTTTATATATAAGTTTGTTGTTTTATTTGCCTAGGTTTCACCTACGTCATTGACCTTATATATACATCAAGTGCCCAACCAAAGGCAAGTGGTGTGCATATGCATATCAACATATGGAGGGGTTCAGTTGGGAGGTGATTGTTCCTAACCTCCTATGGGCCATGGATATATAAACAGCTAGGTTGACATTTATATTATATAATCCAGACTTGCAGCCACAGGCAGAGGTGTTCATATTACCAATTTTACAATATGAGGATCCAATTTTAACCAAAACCAACGATATATGAAGAGAACACACACACACACACACATATATATATATATAGGTAATGTTAGGAAAACTAAATTTGTAAACAAAGTTTTGGAAACTAAAGGATATGAAAATTGATAATTTATTTATTACTTAAATGTTGATAAACGTACTTATTTCTATTAGTAACATATCATTTAGTTTGCAAATTTTATTTCTAAATAGTCTCTCTATCATTACTCATATATATATATATATATATATATATATATATATATATTTCAGCGGGAGCCCACATTTAACATTTTAGCAAAATGTGATTGGTGGGAGGATATCCAAAACCCATTTCCCTTCCTTTGCTTTGCTTTCAAGATAGAGGAGGAGCGATCAATGATTCAATCTAACGTGGGAAATGGCAAATCATTGAGGATCACATAGATTTACCACTCTCTGGCTTTTGTAAAGAGGAGGAGGGACCCTTTAACACGTTGCGCGGGTGACGGTGACTGCCCACTGCCCAGTCTCCACAGTCCACAGGGGCCATATATCTTCTGCAATTTTTCTTTTCAAATAATATTTGTTTTTTGGTATCACCACTTATTCTGTTACTCATAAACAACTTCTTATATTTAAGGATACTGATTTGAAAATGGTTCTTTCCCTCTGCAATTATGGAGAGGCACATGTATCATGAATCATGGATCCATGTTTATTTCTTCTCAACAAAACCAAAAATTCTATATTATCTCTAATAATTATGTATTTGTCTCATTATCGCACTGGACTGGAAATATTTGATTTGGAAAAAAATAAATCCTTTTCTTCTTTTTTTTTTTTTTTCCCTTCAAATATCTAATACTGATCATTTGATATAAGACCATTGTTATGGACGGATAGTCTTTGCTGATGCATCAATGAAGCCAAGCAGGGAATTACAACTCACCCTATAACGCTGGTCTTAATATTTTATTAACTCATTGCGTTTTTTATTTAAATTTTTATTATTTCTTCTAGATAATTTAAAGTAATAATATAACAAAAGAAAAACATGATTACGATTAATTATCATACAAGGATAGTGAAAACAGCTTTCTATAAACAGTACGACAGATAAAGTATCTAACTTTGTTTTTTGAGGTAGGCAGATGAAGTATTATCTTACTTAAAATGGTAGAAAACATCATGCGTCTCTCCTCTCCCAACTCCCGAGTATCTATATAGAATTATAGATGGTGTTGTCAGCAGTGGTTTGTTTGTTCTCGCTGTGTGTCTCCTCATACGATCTTGATTTTCATCTAGTTTTGTATTGAGTTGAGTCGAATACAAGTTTATTGGTGGGGTGGGGTTTCTTGTGTTACTCACTGATAAGGTGATAGTGAGGCCCCATCATTTATCAAAAATCTCAGCTTTTGTTTTGGGTTTCAGCCTCGGCCGCATGGTATCTAAAGTTTCTAGCTTTCCAGATTCAGAGCAGGAGAGTAAGGTACAAAGCTCACAATCAAGGTACTTACTTTGTAATTGGTATTCAACTTTTGCTTCTTCTCATCTGTTGGATTTTGATTGCTTTCTGGATTCTGTTATTTTGATTATTCAACGGGTTTTGATATTTCAAATACGTGAATTTCAGTTTGGATAAGAAACAGGTTTTGAATCAGAGAATTGGAATCCCAGTGGTTAAGTAGAGATTGAAAAACATATTTCTTGACATATCTATATATCTGCACAACTGGGATTCTTACTGTTTCTGTGAGGAAAGGAATTTGGCTTGAATGTTTATTGGGTGGTGATCGTGGAAAAGTAGAATTTGAGATTGGAGAATCAGGACTCCAATGACTAGGAAGTTGGGTTTTGGTTGAGATCAACTTGTTTCCGTGAAATTGGTGATGGAGAGGCAGAGCAGTTTTCAGGCTGCAAGGATGGAAAAACTACCTAGTTTCAGTGGGGCAATTGAGCAGCAGTCAAGTTCTCGAGGGGTGATGGAGAAACAGAAGAGTTTTCGTGGGTTTATGGAGAAGCAGAAGAGTTTTCGGATGGTTATGGAGAAGCAGCTGAGCTTTATTGGTGGTGAACGGAGGAGGAGCAAGGAGTCACCGGGTAAAAGAGGTGACTCTCAGCTCCATTTGGCGGCTCGAGCAGGGAATTTAGTTAGAGTCAGAGAAATTCTTCAGAACTGTAACAGCAATGAGTCAATTGGTTTATTGTCAAAGACAAACCAGGAGGGAGAGACCCCCCTCTATGCCTCAGCGGAGAATGGGCATGCTGTGGTTGTTGGGGAAATGTTGAAGCATATGGACCTTCAAACTGCATCAATTGCCGCCAGAAATGGCTACGATCCATTCCACATTGCTGTAAGACAGGGCCATCTTGGTAAGATACTAGTATGAATATCCATTTCATTTGTAGAAATTCAACACACTTTAATAGAAGCAGTCCTGTAATGTTTGTATCATATGCTATGAAAAAAAAAAGGAACACAATTTCTGTAATTCTGTGTTAGATAAAAGCATATGCAATATGTATCTTCATGAAGCTTGATTTTGAAATGCTTGTTGACTGTCTTCTTCAATCTAAACACGCACACGCATATTGACTTTGATTGTCACCTTAATCATCTGGTGACCTATAAGAGCCTAATTATGATTAGGAAACTATCAAATAATATTTCTTTGAAATATGCATCATGATGATTTGAAAATTGTTTCTTTCTTCAGAGGTGTTGAAAGAACTTCTGCACGTGTTCCCGAACTTGGCTATGACCACAGATTTATCCAATTCAACTGCCTTACACACGGCTGCTACTCAGGGGCATATTGATATTGTAAATCTCCTTTTGGAAACTGACTCAAATCTCGCCAAGATTGCCCGCAATAATGGTAAGACTGTGCTTCATTCAGCAGCAAGGATGGGGCACTTGGAAGTAGTCAAGTCCCTACTAAGAAAGGATCCAAGTGCTGCTTTTAGAACTGACCTGAAAGGCCAAACTGCGTTGCACATGGCTGTAAAAGGGCACAATGAGGAGATTGTGCTGGAGTTGCTGAAACCCGACCCCTCAGTTTTGACTGTGGAAGATAACAAGGGAAACAACGCATTGCATACTGCCACAAGGAAGGGCCGTATTCAGGTTCTTTCTCCTTTATTTTCTTTCAATTTATTTAGTAATTTGATGAAATGTGCTAATGTTATATCAATGATTCAAGTGTCGATCAATATTAAATCCAAATTTCTAAACTAGATCTGAAATCTAGCTTCCCAATTGTTTAGTTTTGTGATCATGTTAAGCATTATGTTCATTGCTGGTAGTTTTAACTCAAAATGTATGCTACGACTCCACTCTGAAGAATGGTTTGGTAATTTCATAGTTGGTGCTTAATTGGTGTATGATACTCATATGTCGTAATGGAAACACCTGTAGATTTTGGTGTGTGACTTCAACTTTCAATTGAAACAAACCAATCTCAAAATTTGCAAGCTAGCTTGTGACGTAATTTTATTATGTTTGCTCAATGCTCATGTACTTTATGTGCAGAATGTACGCCTTCTGTTGTCCATTAATAAAGAGGGTAGTAACATCAATGCAAGCAACAAGGCTGGAGAGAGCCCACTTGACATTGCAGAAAAATATGGGAGTCCAGAACTTGTGGCTGTGTTAAAGGAAGCAGGGGCCACCAATTCTAAAGACCAAGGAAAACCTGCAAATCCAGCCAAGCAGCTGAAGCAGACTGTGAGTGACATAAAGCACGATGTCCAGTCCCAACTTCAGCAGACCCGCCAAACTGGTGCCAGAGTCCAGAATATTGCAAAAAAGTTGAAAAAGCTCCACATTAGCGGCCTCAACAATGCTATAAACTCTGCCACTGTTGTTGCCGTTCTGATTGCCACTGTTGCTTTTGCAGCCATCTTCACTATTCCTGGCCAGTATGTTGAGGACGAAACACCAGGGTTTACGCTTGGACAAGCGCACATAGCAAATAATGCCGCTTTCATCATCTTTTTTGTGTTTGACAGCCTGGCACTCTTCATCTCCCTGGCTGTTGTTGTAGTCCAGACATCTGTGGTTGTGATTGAGCAGAAGGCAAAAAGGCAGCTTGTATTTGTGATCAACAAGCTCATGTGGCTAGCTTGCCTCTTCATTTCGATTGCTTTTATTTCTCTGACGTATGTGGTGGTGGGCACGCACTCGAGGTGGCTTGCTGTGTACGCAACAGTTATAGGCAGCACAATCATGCTTACTACCATTGGCTCCATGTGCTATTGTATCATTTTACATAGGATGGAAGAGTGCAAAATGAGGAACATTCGGAGAGCTGAGAGTAAGTCTCGTTCATTCTCTATGTCTATGGCATCAGAACACGAAGTTTTGAACAGCGAGTATAAGCGGATGTATGCGCTTTAAGTTTCATACGGGAGAAATGAACACAGGGATTGGGGGACCTATGCTGTATCTTAGCATATAGGAGTAGGAGCTTAAGTACATATGTCGCACCTGCTCCTGCGCCACGCATCAGATTGAAATTTTAACATAATAAGTGATCTAAAGGCACCTATCTCTTAAACTAGATGTATGGAGTATATTCGAAGAAATTAAGATTATCGGGTTGAGCAGGTAAAAGGAACTCATATATATCTGCCTCATTCCTCTTCTATCAGCTCTTGGTATAGCAAGGAATGGCTTCTTTCATCTGTCTGCTGTCTGGTGTTACTGGCTTTGCTAATGGATTAAGGTAAGCATCCATGTTTAATTGTTGGAGGGCTATGAGGCAGCTGCATAATTTAATCATCAAGGCATACTGAACTGAGTGAATGTACCATGCCAAGTTTACGACTACTATTATCCAAGTATTTGATTAGGAGTTTATAAATAATCTGTATTATGTGCAAAGTATTGTCATACCAGTTGATGTTTAAATTAGCAATGTCAACTACCTTTTTCGGTCTCAGTCCTTGGTCGGAACTAATCAGAAATAAATGACGAAGCCTGAGAAAACAGAGGATAATGCAGAGGAAAGGTAGATCACATTCGGACTTGTTTTCTATACAGTGATACGATATTTGATTCATCAAATATGAAATATTGAGCCATTACTCGGAAATAAAACTAGTCAACAGTGATTTGCAAATTGTAAACATGGTTTTAGTTAGAAGCCAACAGTGGGCATGCATGCCCTTTTTTACCGCTTTCCACATACCAACTTACCAAGAAACTACTTCGACGACAAAATTTTCAATGTAAAAATGAATTTGATAATGAAGAAAGGACATGATGCTAAACTGTCTTTTAAGTCATAAACAGGTTCACGGAGAGTATTTACACCAACTTTTGTTCTAGACTAGAGTTCTAACTGGAAAAAGAAAGGCACTTGGTAATAACATCAAATCCGTCTTCACTCTTACCAGGCGATATCCATGTGTCTATAAATTGCTTCATGCTATCCAGTATTTGATACTAGTTTAGTTTTAAGAATTATTTCAAGTTGATTTGGCTTGGTATGTTAAGTTGCCGAACTTCAGACCTGTGAACTGGACTTCCCTGGCCTTTCCTAGAGCTGTTGGATTTTGAGTCCATGCGGACTGTCTTGGCTGAGAAGCAATGCCGTACACGAACTCTGTGACTATATGTTTGAGCTGAGCAACTACCTTGGACACTCAACATTAAAATCACTTCCTTGTCGCGGGTGTCTTCGCACCACCAATTTTGAGGGATGCCATCAACAAATTCTTCCAAGGTATGAAACTCTTCATGATGAACTGAGACCTCCACAGACTCTTCAGGTTTGATCATGCCCGTTGCTGGTGTGATCTATTATTTTGTGTTTTGAATAACAGAAGAAGTATATTAGAAGAATAGACACCTGCATTTTCCACTCCAAAAAGGAAAAGAAAATTTATAGGACAGAACAGAAGCAGCAGGGAGAAAGTGATACCTCAAGCCATCGAGGAAACCCATGGGCACCTCTCGGGCGATAGTCAGGCTCTTCCCCATCCTCCTTGACAGTGGACTGACCTTCACAGATGATTTTAAATACGGCCGTATCCTTTACACATTTATTAGTGATACGCAAAATGGACGTGTCCTGATTTTGAAGGATTATGTTGTTGGTGTTCAAAATAGTTTCTGGAACATAATTTGATTCTTCAAGCATAGACCTGATATTCTGATTGGACTTTATAATTTCTCCAAACTCCTTTCTCCTTACTGATCTATCAACGTGAGCAATTTGTAAACTTAGTTTACACCGGACAGGTTTGTGATCACTGTCAGTCACATCCATGCATGCCTCATACCTATTTAAAATCGGGCACCAAGTTTTAGAACAATGAAGAAAAAGAGACAATAGGTTACAATCCCAGAAGAACGTACTGTATAATTGACGAGACTACAGGGCACTCTAAACTGCACTCGGCAACTGGTGATGGCCGATTGTCACGATATATTATTCTATCACACCATGCAGGAATACGTTTCTTCTCACCAGAATCATATCCTGAAAAGGATGCATAGACAAAGTTTCAAATTAAAACACTCGAAAACCATGTTGTATCTAATTCAGTTTTGCAGATATGCATAATTTACTCGTGTAAGAGAAACCAGGAGCTTTAATAGTAATGCAGAAATTGACTGTTACTAGACCAAATACCTGCTAAGCCTGCTTGGTGCTTTTCAAACTTGTATGTTGGAGGGAATCTGATGAGTGCCTCACGCATCCCTTGGAAAACTTTCCCGGCTTTCATCTCTGCTCTGAGCTGATCTTTTTCTCTGAGCCAATCAAAGCATCTTTGCGAAACGAAGTCCCTTGCTTCATCATAAGATATACCAAAAAGCCGATAATTGAAATCACCGAGAAAAACAACCATATCTGCTTCTGCTAATTCGGGCCTTACATCTTCAGTGTTGCTACTGACAGCCTAAATCATCAATGGTCTAACACTTAGCTAATTACATTAAAAATTATAAATAAAGGATTGATTTCAGCAATACGAACTAGAACAAGTTCATACATTTGGAGCACGAGCCATGTTAACAGAAGTTGAGACACCAGCTGCAAGAGAGAGGACCCATGGCAAGCCAGAAGAATAAAGCAGCCAAAATAAATAGGCAGAGAAGGCAAGGGAGCAAGACAAAAACAGGTATGGTAGCATACCAGCTGCTGTATTAAGTAGAGACGACCGGTTGAAGACCATATTACGATAAATGTGATCAAAATCAGCATTACGGCGATTGACAGCTTCCAAATGTGCAGCCAAATGACAGTTCACAAAGCACATTATCCGATCATAGACTCGGATTCTCAGACCAACACCCCCCTGCTTGAACATAAGTAATCTAGTCAGTGATCCTTTTTCGTAAGAATAAGAAAGCGATACATTTAAGAAATTGAGCAGAGACAATCAAACTGACTGCATTCTAGTTTATTCTGTAAACAAAAAGGTACCAACTCCCAAATTGTATACATGCCAATTTGCCAAATGAGCACTGTGAATGGAGAGGTACCAACCTTGTTACCAATGGCACGACCAAAGCCACAGGGAACTGCTCCAGCATCAATATCCCCGACATGTTTTCTGAGATTCTTTCTTACCCTATATGAGAATTATGAGCTCATAAAAGGAAAGAAATATATGAGGACAAACTCCACAAGGATAATTTAACAGAGTAGGGTTAAGATGCCTCACTGATAAAAGGAAAGAAATACGAACTGCAGGCTAATTATATTTGGTGATAGCTAATTCCTGAAATCAGTTTCGATGGTAATTGCTTACCAAAGAGATATGAGCAAGCCTGCGAGCTGCCTAGAACCCATACGTTCAAAAGTTTTTCCTTCTTCTAAGGCCTTTCCTATGTTATCAAGCCACCAGTTACCAACAGAACTCCCTTCAAGCCCTACCTACAAGGGGAAAATAATGGTAAATAAATAAATCAATCCATACGCACGAGTAGAGATTTTGTATCTGTTAAAGTAAGCAAATAAGCAGTTCACAACATCAATGAAGGATCTTACAGTTTCTTTTGCAGCAGACATTGCAAGAAAGCCTGCGCCCATTTCTACTTCTTGCAACCCGACAACTACAATGCCAACATCCGGCACAGCAGAGCCTAACCATGATATTAGTGCATCCTGAGATGCTCTTCCTTGACCAACATTCCATGTGCCTACTAAAATTCTAACATTGTCACTTTTGGTATATACACTTTCTTTTGCAGCCAATTCTGTACGTATCAAGTTGTCAGTAGGTCCTGGAGATTTGATGTTCCATCCGCGAATACCACCATGGGTGGCCAAGCTATAAACAAAACCAGTTCCAACCGCCAGTTTTATCACTGGACTACTGTGTGCAACCCATCCTGCAATCAGATTTCCCTCAAGATCCAACACCTGAATCATGCCACTCACATAGCCTACATATATTCGTGTTCCGATAGTGCAAAAGCATTGGACACCAGAAGAATGGTGATTAAAATCTTGCACACGGTTACCATTTCCATCCCACTGAACCAGTAAACCATTTGTGCATCCACTCCATATCATGCCATCCGCAGTGAGCACTAGCGCTTCTGTCTTCTTGGATTCTTCTACAAATGCCCCTGCCCCTCTTGTTGCAACCCGACGAACAGCATCTGCAGCTCCCATTATAGCATTACGCGACCGTTGTAAAAAGCCCCCGGATTTCTCCTTTTTCGATGTTGAAACAAATTTTACCTTCATCTCATCTTCTACTGCTTGATCTTGCTGCACTGCTGACATGTCAACTCGATTCTCCATCTGACCTTCTACATTAAAGACTTTCACAAGCTCTCTTGTACGAGCATCCCTGACAAATCAACACTTTTTAGAATAATTCCAATGGAAATTATATGTATTAGGATCTCTATCTAAGCAACGATTTCCTCTTCTCTTTCTTGATCGAAATCCCATTTAGAAAAACATGAATTGTGCATAAGATAAAAGTTTTAACCATGTAAAACATGTATCAAAACGCACACACTCCCCACTAACACTAGGTTTCAATTTGAAAACTAACCACAAGGAGAAGGACATAGATCCGGCACACCAAACTTTAGCCCTAAAATTATCAGATAGCAAATACTTGACATCTTGAGAAGATATACTACAGACGCCATTCACGGTAACTTGGCTCCTCAGGTCAATGCCTGACCTCTCCACCAGTAAAGCTGCCATATGCCTTTCCTCTGGTTTTAGAGAGAGAGATTTTTCTATAGTTTCCCATGGCCAGATTTTAATAACACCACCCTCGGAACCTGACCACATATCACCTGCATCAAATCAAAGCAACATAATATCAGATAGATTAACATTTACATTGGAAAGTAAAAAACCAAGCAATACAGAAGCACTTGAGGAAGAGGAACAAATAAGTGACTGACCGTAAGCAGTGAAAACCATGGCGAGAACAGGAGCGCGGTGGGCCTGCCAGGAAAGACCTTCCTTAAAAGGAGTAGAAGCATCCAAAGACTGATCCATCTTCCAAGACCTGATCTTACCATCCTTATGGCCAGTCCAAATCAAGCAATTGCCGGTATCAACCATGAGGCAATGGGTGGGAGAGGTGTTGGCGGATTCATAGTATGGGGCGGCATCCTCATCACCCCTCATGACTCTGCCACCAATACCAAAGCCAGGTTCAAAGACGCCCTTCAAATTCCAGACCCTGACTCCGCCCTCCTGGCCAGCCCACAGCTGGGTATTGGTGCAGGCAATGGTCCTGAGGAACCTGCCGACCTGGGTCTCCCTGAGAGGGTGGGGTCTCAGCTCCAAGCAGGGGGGACGACCAGGATGGACGGATGCGCGAGTTGGAACCTTGAAGATGCCAGTGCCACCGCCGCTGCCAATAAATTCGGCCAACGGCTGGCATTCTCTGTTGCCATCAGGATCATCACCAGCCTCCATGCAGAGGCTTTGGTCCAGCCTCTGGGAGTGAGTGGTGCCCACGTACACGTCGTGATCACCAACGCCAACAGCATTACTAGTGGTTGTGGTGGTGATGGTGCTGTTAGAGGTGGAGTAAGGAAAGAAATCGTCGTCAGAAGAGTCGTAGTAGTCGACATTATTATTGTTATGAACGCTCTTGGGGAAGACGCTGACGTCGTCGAGGCTATGCTTGCGTATTTGGTGGTGGCGTTTTTGGGCGGAGGTTGCACGCAGCTGCTGGCTTAATGAATGTGACTTGCGGGGTGGAGGAGCGTTGCTTAGCCCCGCCAATGCGTCCCTGTCGTCGTCTTGACTTCTGTCCTCCATAGTACTAAGCAATTAATTAAGGGATGTTTCAAATGTTTGGGTTGATGAATAATATATATGTATATATATATATATATACACACACATATATATGAAGAACCTAGTTAACAATCCAAAGGAACAACATCGAGTGTTTATCTATACTTTAAACCAAATGAATATCAACATGAAAATTGTAAAAAATTCCATCAGAATCGAAAGAAAGAGAGGAACAAAACCAGAAGAGAACAGAGGAGAGAGAGAGAGAGAGGAGAAAAGAGGAGAGAGAAAGGAGAAAGGGTCTAACTCTAAATTTGCAAGGGGAGGGATGGGAGGGAACTCCGGGAAGGGGATCCGAGATGGGAGCACGTCGGTTGGTTGGATGATTGGTGTTTTATTTTTCTTTTTTTTTTTTTTTGGGACAAAAGGCTGGATGATTGATTGGAAGGCCAAGAGAAAAGAACGAGTGGGGCCATACATTGGTACTTTTAAAATGTCACCGTTTATTATATATTAGTAAATTAGTTACCATTTATTATATATTGGATTTAAGTAGTAATTAATTACCATTTGTATATACTGGATTTAATTAGTAAAAAAATTTATATTTATAAAAATGAATATTTATTTATTCATCTTGCAAAAAAAATAAAAATAAGATTTGACGGCATGAAAGTCATCAAGATTGGAATCTTACGAAGTTCCTGCATAGCTATGTATCTTTTTTACTTAGCATTCTTAAAGATTCCTAAGAGAACAAATTGGAAGGAATACATACCCCAAGGCTCAGATCAGTGGGAGTCACAGATGTCCTTGACTGGGCTGTTTGATAAGGGCTTCAACTTTTCAGATCATATACTCAGAAGGTTGTCTGCTCTCCTTTACCTTCTAGTCTTAGTATTTGTTCTGTCGGTTGAGGTCATTTTGTATTTGCAGGCTTCTTTCTAGAGTTGCATACTACTTTTCACGTGGACCATTTCTTAGGTTTTGGATAACAAAAGAATATGATCCTCGCAAAGATGTTGATTCTCGAATGTGAGTTGTAAACAAAGCCTCTTACACAGCCTTCAGCAAATGTTTGCTTTTTTCTTTTCTTTTGCATGTAGGTTTCTGTTTCCATCTTGCAATGTTGATATTATCTCCAGTTTTGCTTATAGTAATATTTGTTTTGACAGATATCAGAAAATTGATCATCGAGTAAGACCACCATTATGAAGTTACTGTGGTGCTAATTCAGCCAACCAGTAAGTTTCTCTTCAAAGTTTTCTTTAATTTTGTTTGAAATCTATTATAACAATTAATTGAGAGAGAGAGAGAGAGAGAGAGAGAGAGAGAGAGAGTGCTTTAGAATTATAGTTCATCTAAGGGACCTTGATTGCTTTGCATTGAATATAGCTCATAAAGATAGCAATGCTGACTTGATGAGTGCCGACAGAGTTGTCCAGTAATTGGTTGTTAAGAAACATCAAACATCTTATTTATTCCCTAGTTTCTGTACCATCGTTCATTTTTAGTTCATGCTATCAATGTTGATAATTATGTCTCTCTCCATGCGTTGTTTGGAGGATACTCAAGATGAACCTTGCAACTTGTGCTAGCTTTGAAAATCAAATTTACTCGTTCTAATTTCCAGTTGTTAAGTAAATAACAATTTTTCTATGTGAAATAGTTCTCTTAATTCTTTTTCTTTTGGGGGTCACTCGTGCAGACTAAAGCGTAGATGGGAGGATATTTGTGCATTGCGAGTGTTCCCTTAAAGTGGCATACAACATTGCAACTATTTGCACTCGGTGATGATTACATTCAAGAACAGATAAGGAAGCCTGCAGCTCAGACAACTTGCTCCGTGAGTTTCTAGAATCAAGACGTGTTGTCAGTTTTCCATGCAAGTTCATCTATTTGCATATTCCATAAAACCTGTATGATATAAAAGTACGATTGAACATAACCTTTAAATGTTTGAGGATGTTTTGTGAGAATCTCAAGTGAAATGAAGTATGTAAACTCACTGTTCCTCTTTTTATTTTGAGCCATTAAAATTTGAACGCTGGTTAGCTTTGAATTTAGCCTATTTATTTGTAGTCTGAGACGGATGGTTTTCCTATAACATGCTTGAGAACTTGAAGGATCGTGTTAAGGTGAGGTTCTTATCCGTATTCTTGAAACCTGGTGCGGTAATTAATTCTTTTCTCTTCAACAGATTATCTGTTAAATCACTGTTTTCTGTGATATCGGTTTCTTGACATTTTCAATAGATTTATCAGGCACGTTACTTTGTGGACTTAATCATGTTTACTTGTTTGAAGGCTGACGATGGTGAGATTTCTCTGCAGTCACATTCCTTTATCCTTACAGCATAACAGTCCAGTTTTTTTTCTTTTTCCTTTTTGTGCGTATTTCATATATAAAAACATGATAATTAAGTTGGCGTGATTTGAAACCAAAAGTGATATTTTTTCTCGGACTTTTTTTCCATCTTCTGAAGCAAGAAAACATTTTTCTTTTAGTACATTTTTTCAATAATTTTTATACAAATTTGCAAAACCAATTAAAGATCGTGGGCTATTGTTCACATTTTTTTCAAACAGGTACTCAAATTTATATTTTTCTGAGGCCTCGATAATATTGTGTTTTAGTCGTGGCTGAGGAAGGGGCAGAAGACCATCGAATCTAAAGCAAGGGGATGCTGTCATTGCAGTGTGATCCTAACTTGAACTTGGACTTTGGAGTTGGAGAGCTCGAAAAATATTTGAGAACATATTTCTTGATTTGCTTTTAACATTTGTAAATCCTGATTTTCTTTTACTCTGTGCTTTTCACTTGATGTTTCAGTTTTGGAACTGATAAATCAACACAAAATATTTGTGGGGCCGAAAAACAGCCATTAGCCATAACAAAGTTCTGTCGATCAAGACATTTTTGAAATATCCACCATGAATTGCATTGGTACGGCGAAAGTTCCAGGAAAACATTTTTCTTTTAATATATTTTTTTCAATAATTTTGATACAAATTTGCAAAACCAATTAAAAACCGTGAGTTATTGTTCACATTTTTTGTGAAAAACGCTTGTTTGAGTTTCCGCAAGATATTTTGTATGCACAAGGAGAATTTTATAGATCATTTGAAAACAATAATTATTTATTGAGACATATAAATAAAATCAGTAACTATTTATTGCGACGCATAAATTTTCTTTATTTAATTTTTTAAGTTAGAAAAAAAAAAAAATTTTACAAAACTACCTTAACTATGAATCAAACTAAAATTTTATACCTCATGTTTTAAACATTGCAATGTCATACTTGAATTTATAAATTCGTTGCAATATCAGATCTCTATTAATTAATTCATTAAATTAACCGTTAAATGATGACGTGACAAATATAAAACACATATTTTTCTAACATGAAATACCATGTAGATAAAAAAATAAAACCAAAAAATAAACCATTCTCCCCCTCCCGTATTCTCCCCCTTCCTCCCTTTCAAGCTGCAACAGCAGCCGCATGCTCTGTTCTTCCCCAAAACCCCAGCACCATCCCTTCCCAAATCCTTCACCGCCACTGCCCCACCCATAGCCCCACCATCCCAACCCAGACCTGATCTAATCCCTCTCAACACAGACCCGATTCAGATTTCTGCAAAATCTTAACTGGGTTCTTATCTTTCTCAGTTCCCTTAATCAACCTGTAACACAGAGGATAAAGAGGGAGAGGGCAGGAAGAGAGAGGGCAGAGCTCTTGATTTGTTTTTGTTTATATTTCTTTTGGGTAAATTCTGATCTCCTACATTTGAGGGAGCTGGGCTCCTTTTATCTAGCTTCTACACTTTTAAATGCCAGCTGGCATATTAACAATTCCTAACAGTAATAAAGCATAAAACCTCAGAATAATTTGGGTTCATAACAATACCAACCCTATTTTCTCACTTGGATAGTCATCAAATCCCACAAGCCCCATAAAAACAGAGATATTGACCACCTTTAACCCCAGCAAATCCACCGGAAAACCCAAGAACTTTCGCGACCTAAATCTGAAATTCAAACCTGTCAACTTCGAATTTGATGAAATAAGATAAAAATTTGGACTTGATATGAAGAGAGGATTCTAAGAATATTAGTTTGGAGTTGTTGGTGGCTGAATAAAGCGGCGCCGTCGCCGTGGTTGCCGAAGGGCTGCACCTGGGCTGCTGTTGCAGCGTGAAAAAGGGTGAGGTGTTGGGGTGGGCCCACTCCTCTTTAATTAGTTTTTAATTTATTTATTTTATAGTTGTAATTTTTTATTCACATGGTCCTCCACGTCAGAAAAATATGAATCCTACATTTGCCACATATCATTTAACGGATTAATTAACAAAGTTCTAATATTCTAACGAATTTATAAATTGAGGTATGACATTGCAATGTTTAAAACATGAGTTATGCAATTGTAGTTCAGACTCATAGTTGAGGTAATTTTGTGTAATTTATCTAAAAAAAATATATATGCTAAACAGAATACACCTCTTCCAATCACGGAATGAACAAAATAATTAACTCCCTCACTATTTCATTCTACAAAGGCATGTGGTTCGGTCGCTTCCATCTAATTTTATACAAACAAAAATATAAGGCGCTCTCACTCCCTCTCTCTCACTCAAAATGTATGGACAGCATGAACAGGGGAAGGGGGTGTTCAATCCAGGTAGAAGAGAGTCACAATTTTGCGGAGATTTTTGGCCTCTTGACAAGTTTCCATGAGCAATCTACTGTCGTGAAACGCAAAGCATATAACTTGCTGTACATGTGAAATGATGTTCATGTTGCACAACCTACAGGTTCAACATCAAGTCATGAAAACAAATTCACTCCAACAGAAATGATATCTGCCAATCGTATAACATCATGAAGGCTATGCTGAACGTAAAAAGTGGAACTACTATCAACCTGCTCGCTTCTATCAGTGGTAGATGATCATTTTGAGGCTTTTCTATCACATTCTTGACCTGAAAACCCCAAGAAATTATCAATTACAATAACAACATTGCATTTCCTTTGTCGGGTGGTGGGAAACAAGGTATCATTACTAAACATATTACTGAAATAACAACAAGAAAGACTCTGAGCACTGGGAATCCATTAAATTCTGTTCAAGGTTATATGTACCCAATCACTTTCTAACTAATTAATAGCCGCCAACTCAATTTCATTTTCTGAGGCATTGTACTGCAGATCTACTCTTGTAATGCCAATAGTAATAAATTGCAGGAACAGTAGTCCTAAGTTCCTAACATAAGAATATGGAGAAATAGCACACCCAATTTCATCCTAATAAGGTAATACCTAGCTGTCAAACTAAATACAATAGAAAGGGCAATTTACTGGAGAGATTTTCAATCATACATATCACTTCATTAAACGGTGATAAGCTATATACTAGATGCTTTCCTAAATGTTCCCTAACAAGGAAATGACTGCAATGAAACCATACCCAAACAAATTTAAAGGGATGAAAATTTTGAGCGCGTAGGCAGATGAATGAAAATCTTCCTTGAGTAAAGGAAAGATGAAAAACAGACAAAGGTGTTATATGAGTTTTTCGTCTTCGATGGAAGAACAACGCAGAGGGCAAGGTCGTAGTGCATAGAGCTACAAAAGCACCTTCCATTGTGGTTAGAGAAACCACCGTACACAAATAGCATCAAGAAAATCCAAAAAGGAAAAAGAGGAGCAAAAATCTAAACTCAGAGTCAACTATGAGACAATAAGCAATTGACATCTGCGATTATGTGAATACCATGAGAAAATCTAGTAAAAAGCAAAATAGATGAAGCGTAAAATTGAAGGAATGCCCTTTTAAGAAATTCTTACTTTTGACAATAATTCCTGGCTCTCAGGTGGTTGCTTCTTCAAACTCTGGGGCAAGATTACGGTAAGCAGCTCTGGTTTCTCTGCTCTTAAAGCACCCCTGATGACAGCTGCATTAGTGCCGGATGCCCCTGATGTATATATGTGATTTTTCTGCAAACACAAGGTTAAGGAACACACAAGTCAAGGTCACTGATCCCTTCAGATTCAACATAAACTGAAAAGGTCCAGTATTGTCGAATGACTGATAGCTTCATACGTACTCATAAATGCCAGATATATAATTTCATTCAGTTACAGTTCTTACAGTGATAACCATTGCATAGCTGAGAATCTCAATAAGTTCTTGATGCATGAATCCCATATTCCGGGTCCCAAAGAAACCAATTGCTCTGGGTCCTTGTTGCTGAATGGCTAATAACTCCTGCAGATAATTTTGCATAATATAGGAAGAGTGCTTTCAAGTTGCAATAAAGAAACACTTAAAGACAAAGCATGCACGGCCTGCAAGAGATAGGCTACTTAAGAGTCCTGTAAACATATGGTTTTAAAAAAAACTGGGTGATTGGAATTAGGTTTTTGTAAGTCAATCCTCGTGGAAACGATTTACATTTATATGCATTGAGTCAACAAAATGGAAAGAAGCCAAACTGAAGAATAATCACGCACCTGTAGATAATCGACATCGGCCACTGGTCTAAACTCTGAAACCATAACTGCCCCTGATCCTTCGACAACAGATTGAGCCTGGGTTGGGATTTGGGTGCCTACTTCCTCATCGGAACCAAACATACTCGCACCAGTGGCGTCTTCATTGGATCGACTATCTATATCTTGATCTCTTCTCAAGTGTCCGCAAAGCCACTATACGAGTAAAGAAAAACAGACCCCTGGTAGTAAATCATTAGTGAAAACCAACTGCCCACGAAGAGTGGTAATCATACAAGTCCAAGTCACATGCTTTTACAGGATTGAAACCGGTTTAAGGCAAATGGAGCTCGAAATATAGAGATGCAGCCTCTTTGAGATAACAAAGAGACCAGCGAAGCACTAATACAAACAGGACCCAACTTTGAAGGAAAATTTGGATTACTATATCTATATGAAGGAACAGAAGCATCTCATTATAGAAAGCTCATTCCAGAAAATGAGGATGAGGATTTGTAAGCCCAAAAAATACTCTATCTTTTCATCACAAACAAACAAGACCCAATATCTCAGAATTAACAAAAAAGCTGATGATTTGAAAACGAACATATAAATATGCAGAGAGAGAGAGAGAGAGATACCTTCCGTTCGGAGCGAGTGGTTGTCCTTTGTCGAGTACATGAGTGGTTGTGAGATGAGAGAGAAGAAAGATTGAAATTAGGGCTTGCAGAGTGAAAGGATTTGAAGGACTTGCAGGGGAAGTGTGAAGAAGAAGGATAGGGAGTAATGGAGGTGAGAGGCTGGAAGAGCCTCAAGGGCAAGGGTGTTGCCATTCCTCCTCAAAGGCGCTTTCTTTCAGCTTTTGCGCTTTTGCTTTGGGGTGGGGGTGGGGGTGGGCAGCTGCCAGCTGCTGCTTGCTTCTGCTGCTTCTTTATCTTTCTGCGCTTCTCACATTCCTCCTCTCTTTTAATATCCTCCTCCAATTGGAATTTGGAAAGCCAAAAACAAAAAGGACAAATCGAATAAGAGCGAGCACCCACATTTGATATCTGTTTTATTTGATTTTATATATATATATATACAAAATACAGAAAATTGGAAATTGTGAAATGGAACAGAATTTTGTCAATAAAGCTTTCGTTTCCCTTTTTCTCTTTTCATTCGCTTTTTGGCTTTTCAACTTTTATTATTATCTTAATTCTTACCCTTTTTTCCTTCTTTGCATATTTTGACCTACGCACGGCACAACCCAACTGAACCAGAGAGAGACCTATCTACCATGTCGATGACACTACAGCTGCCATGTGTCTAACTTAATAGCATGACAGTACGTGATTAACTGCTCCCTCCTTGTTGAGTAGACCGATCCTGTTCGTATAACAAGTGACATTCTCATTGCGTAGAAGATGAGCTTGTAAAAAGGCATGTAGTTTACTGTCAATTGTTTCCGAGAAACCCATCGGGACAGTAATATAACAATCCGCTCCAATTGCGATCAATGCAGCTTCATGTCTCACAAGAATTTCATTAAACATAATATGAATCTCCGGTTTCATGTACGTGCTGTGAATTTCATATGGATCTCTCGCAAAGGTAATATCTTGAGCTGGAACGACAGAGCAGACAAACATGAAGGACCACATGAAAATCCTGGCCACTTCCTTCTTTAGCATCTGATCCAGCAACAACCTCATCAAGAACCAACTGGTTTGTGTGAACTAAACCCAATTGCTTAATAAATAAACACTTTTCCAAGATCATCTCAGCTTTCAGTTTGGGCTGCCCGTCATCTGCTGACTATCAAAGTATTATTTCAACCGGTAAATACAAATCAACTAATGCAATTACAGCAATAAGCATGTCATTCGATTAGCACATTCTGTGTATCGAAACTACACTATCATATTCATATGATATCGAACCACCAGAGTTGCAGTTGAATGTTCATAACAGGGCACTACACCATATCATCCCATAACCAGAAATGACTATTATATGTCCCATCTCTTTTTAACCCGGAACATCAAAGCCGATGATTGAATGTCATCTTGCGGCACTTGAAGCATGAATTGAACTTTCATCTTCATCGGGGCTGTCTTTGCTTTCCCACCTTCATCTCCAACCTGAAACAACCATAATCATGTTTCCCATCATTTCTTCATAGCAAACAGTTTGACAGCTTACGTGCACTCAACACGTGAGGCACTTACTTCGTAAACCTAAGTTTCGAAACAATTTTACCATGCGATCAACACTTGAAAGAAATCTTCGTTGACATAAAGTTTTCTTACCATTTAACTTAATATGTGTTATTAATAGTTTCCGTGTATATCCTAAGGGTTTCCTGCCAAACTCCCTTTTCCAGTGCAACAATGGAAGAAAACTAAAAAAGGCCTTTCTTGTTGTCCTGAAATAATCTACTTGGTTTCCTTGATTATTCATGAGATTCTCCCTTTTCATACGACTTCTAGAAAACTCGATTCATATAAGCACTTACCCAAAGAGATGCCCAGCCAAGGCGCACCTCTGAATCGTAACCAGCTTTAAGTTTCAAATCCTTGCCATATGTGTGCTTGTATACCGCGCTCCAGTAGTTGGAATCAAAATTGTACCAGTAGCTGGAGATGAAATCATCAAAATAAGTATAAAACTCTTCAAACAGTCAACAAATAGATGACTGGAGACAAAATGTGCAGATACATGACTGCTTGAAAAACAACCTTAAACAAAATACTCGCATGGTCCAATTATTTTGAAAAGTAATATTCAATGCAAACTATAATTATCCATTTCTCCCTTCATTATGCTCAAATTCTTGAAGGACACATTTCAAGAATAATTTTTGCTACACCAATTAACTATTGGAGACTTCCAAAGAAAAATATTGAAGACAAGATTCACTTTACAATTTCACAAATTCTATGCATAAATTGATCATACTAAGCAGATAACAGTCACACCATGAAACATGATATGGTAATTGGCCAACTCAACATGAGTGGATTTTGTAAAGCACCAGATACAAAGCACCTTATTTGTTTCATGTAAATATTTCTATGTTTACATCTGAATCCAACAAACAAAACAATAAAAGAAACAAAGCAATAAAAAAATTAAGAATAGATGGAAGGAAAAAGAAAGATTTCTAACCTCAACTTGTCAGAAGGACCAAACCGACGCTTGAAAGCAAATGACAATGCATTCGAAGGCAGACAAAGGGTTGGGATCAAAGACAACTCCTCGTCCTGTAATAAGTCCAAAGCTATCAGAAAAGATCACAGAGACGAAACACCAATATGATGGAAAAGCATTCGTCCAGCTATTAGGAGACTGAATATTTTTGCAAAAAATCATCTGGGCTGCACCATTCACACAACCCAGCCAACCCTCCTTTTTCTGTTTATCCTTGATGGGGACCAGTGGCGGAGCCACAAAGAGGCCAGTGATGGCCCAGGCCTACCCTGAAAATTCATTTATGTAAGTACTCTCTGCAAGATTTTACAAAAATGAGCATGTGGCTCATTGGCTACTGGGATTTTGCAATTCCAAATAGCCCGGGTTCGAGCCTTCCTAGCGGTCCAGCATTTTTTATAGATTTTTTTTAAACTGAAAGAAAAAAAGGGTTCTTATAATTTGCCTTATTTTTTACCATATTAAAACTAAGTCTTATTTTTTAATATATATATAAAATAAAATTAAAAAAAAAAAAAAAAAAACCATATTCTCTTTTTTGGCTAGTTGATATAAAAAAAAGGCCTATACAGTCTAGAGCAAAATCTAATTTTAAGTTGTGATTTTAAATTTTTGTACGACTCTAATGTAATTTTTTTTATCAAAGCTTGTAAACAAGTTTTGTTTTTATGATATATTCATTTCAATACTAGGTTTTTCCTACAAAATTTAAAGCTCCACCATTCTTGTTTGATTAAAAATTTTCATGCCAATACAAAAAACAAAACCTTTCATTTTTCTCCCATTAATTATATTTCAAAGGCTAATCTTTCTAGGGATTAAAGGCCCCTCCTGATCTGGTTTTCTGGCTCCGGCACTGATATGGACCCAGCTATCCATCCTGTGCAATTGAAAAACACCCAAAAAAGTAACTGATAGGGACCCACCTTGTATAAATACCGCAACTTCAAATCTTCATCTGCATAATGAGCAGTGCACAACCCGTTCAAAATTTGGCCTTTTACTATTCCATTAATTGATAACATTCTCTGCTTCTCCTCTTCTTCTTTCTCCTCGACAGAAACTTCACCCAGGGGGAACTTTAGGGTAGCTTTCGGCTGCTGCATCAGAATAGTGATTAAGGTAATAAATTTTTTGCTCTAAATATAGAAAGTTTAGAGTACACAATTAGATTTTTCGGAGTGCCAGTAACAATTCTGGAGTGGAGAAGTAACATGAAACGAATAAATTATTTTCTGTTTGGTAAATTTAATGCAGCACGATGTCATAAAAGGACAATTTTTTTTGGAAAAGAAACAAAGCATTCAATAAAATGAGAGTACAACACAGAGTATGTTGTGAAGTATACATCAAAGAAGAAAAACACCAACTCCGAAATCCAAATGATGATTCTGGAAATATGCCATAGGGTGTTGTAATTCAACAATCCAATTCATGAATGCTGAAGTCTGTCTTAAAAGTTTAAACAGATCAATGTGTGACAACAGAAACAAGTTTGAAACACTAATGGCTCGTCGCAGCAGTAGAATTCCAAGATAATGGTCTTGTTTGTGCCTTGTTGGAGTTATACTTAAATGGAACGGTAGATGACAATTCAAAACAAGGGTGTCCTAACATCATTATACTGCAGATATCATGTGATTGTACTTACCAAACCAACATAAGGAACAGGAGAAAAGAGCTCAAGTGCATAGCCAGGGTCAGCAAGCTTCGCAACCACGGTAGCCTCTCCTTCTTGTGCCTAAGAACATCATGACATTTAGACATGAGAGAAGAATGAGTCAACTTGTTCATGCCAATAAGCTTTGAGAAATATAAACAGGGACACGAAGATGCTAAAGCCTAGTTAAAATTGGTGTTAGATTTTAATGTTTTTAGTAAGGTTTACACCCCTAAGATTGAATGTGGGATGGTCTCAACAATTACATAACAACATTACATTAGAAAAAAAAAGGGATTAAGGAGGTAACCTGGAGATGATGGCTAGCACGGAGAAGCAATCTCGGGCCAACATCGACGGAGCCGTTGATGAGTGTAGATTGATCTTCGAAGTTGTGGTGAACGGAGAGGTTCTTGGAGACAAATGTTAACTGCGGCGGAGAGAGTTCGCCCTTGTGGTTGTTGCTGAAGGAGAGCTTCAGCTTGGCGAGGCTGTCGAGCAGCTTGCAAGAGACCTTGTGGAAGAACACGGAGGAGTCGCTGTCGAACTCGGAAGTGAGTCGAACCGAAGGCCTCTTGGGGAAGCTGAATACGACGGGAGTCCTCGAAGCTGCGGCTGGCGGAGGCGGCGGCGGCGGTGATCCAGCTAGTGGCAATGACGGTGGAGGAGAAGGAGGAACAGTTCCAGTTGCGGGGGCCTGGTAATTAGGGTTAGGATTGTTAGGAAGGATGGGTGTGATTGACTCTGCCATTACTGATTCGCTCCTATGACTCCAGGCTCCCCTGAATCTAAAAGACAGAGAAAGAGAGAGTGGGCGCGTGCGTGACGATGGACGAGACTCGCGAGACTGTATCCTCCAGTCCGCCGCCGCTGCGTCTCTGTGTATCTAGTGTGTTTGTGTGGTTCATTTAGGCGGAAATGTAGATGCTCATTCACTTTCGTCAGTGGCTGACAAAAAAATAAATAAATAAATAAAATTCACTTCCGTCAGTGCTGTCCACTTCATTTTTCTTAATTATTTACTCTGCTCCAAACTCTCTAAAATCTCAAAAGACACAAAATTTACCATGAATGATCAATTAAATGATCAGTTTTTAGTAACAATGATATATTAATAATATATTGATGACTTAATGATCATATAACAACACGCAATAATGATATAACGACGATATAGTAAACACCGATAATCTGTACAATCAAATATAAAAAACTGATTATTTCTTTCCTACTATTTTTTCTTTTGTTTTTAACAAAAATTATTATCTTAACCTCATAATGTACTAGCATTAATATGGTTCAAATTCGTCTATGACGAGAATTGAATTTCAGACCTCTTACTTACAAGTGAAAAAGAATATCATTTGATATTTACCCAAAAGAAAAGAGGGTTTTCTTTTAAAACACCAAAATATAATACGCGACGCAATCATATTTGTAACTTGTAACCGAATCCTCGTCCTCCCTCAACTTTAACCCAGGACACGAACACAAACGGAAAATGTTATCGACATATAATGAAAGGTTCCCTAATTACCCTTAACTCGGTACAATATGGATTGACAGCCCTTATAAAAACCTTTGCCATCAAACACCACCCACACCATAAGAGGCATAGTTTCCCTTCCCACCCCACAACATGTTCTTTTCAGCCACAGAGATACCAAAGAAAAAACTCTTACAAGTTCCCCCAGTCCTTAATCCTTAGGCGATATTAACAGTAACTGGCTTCCCCCGACCCATTGCAAATCCCCTTGTGCCGTCTGGCATACGCGGCCCAGGAGGCTTCTTCGTTACACCTGCATGCTCCATACTCCCAACTGAACTGTTAGGAGGATGCCCCGCATGATTTCCACGATTATTATTATGATGGTATTGACCTCGCCCACGCCCCTTGCCACGGCCTTTATTACGCCCTTTTCTCTGCCCAACCTCCTTGTCATTGCCATGCTCCTCTCCCTAGCACAGAAAATTTATGCAAAATATTAAATTGATACAAACAAATTGAATATGTAATAGCTGGGGCTTCCAAAATAAGCTGAATTCATGCTAGATGAAATGATTATGATACTTGGGTTGATATCATTAAAAACAATAAATAAAATCAAAAAGCTTAGTGAAGAATGTGTATGATGCGTATTAACTCTTTATTTTTTTCCGTCCCCAAGGAACTTGTTGGTTGACATCAGTAAAAGGGGATAACTATCATCCCTAACGTAAAACTAACCAACCAACATTCCAGTACCATACTTGTGCTACCATTTTGTGAAAAAGTGTGTCCAATTAGCACCTGTAAATGCTTATCAACGGAATGCAATTCTCACGACAGAAGACATACATATTTCAATGAGTTTGTTCTCTCTTCGTGTTCATGTGGATGGATATCAGACTGTTGGGAAGAATCTACTGATTGTTTCTCATTTGCCTGTTGTTCAGGGGTAGAAGCATCTTCTTCCTCTAACTGCACTTCCCCATCCAGCCCCTTTTTCCCACGCACTTGGGCAGGTTTTGACTGAGAAATGAGAATGGAACAAACAGAACCACATCATAGACTGATCCACGTCACCAAATCAACTAGGTTAATACACTAAAAGATCATCCAGTCAGATAGCATAGGACCAATCACACACACTCCGCAAGCAAACACACGTATGATTAACTGAATAAAATGCTATTAATTAATGTCTACATTTATTGTGCAACATTAGTTCACCCATACATTTGAGAAGTATACTTTTCAATCCTAAAATTAGAAACATAAGTTCATAAATTATCTGACACTTGAAGCCAAAAAATAAAATGCAAACTGAACTTCGTTGTAGAAAATGGAAATTTTTTACCAAGAAGCCCACAGTTCCTGTTATTTTAACCAAAACTACATTTTTAGGAACCGAACTGAATAACAAAGATGAAAGAGCCATAGTTTTGGGCATATACCGCTCGCCCAAGCATTAAACGGACTCTAAGGCCACTCCTCCAGTTTGCCTCATCATTAAGCTCTGCAACCTGTACAATAGGAATGCACATTTAATGTTTTAACCAAAATAAGACTTGCATATTTATTTTACGTAATGGGCACAGCATAAACCATATTAATGTCGAACCACTGTAAACACTTACAGCATTCTCCGCTATCTCAGGGGATTCATATTCCACAAATGCATGTAACTACAAAATAAGTGAGTCCAGATATGAGATACTTCTGTCCACCTTTAACTATAAAGGAACAATAATTACTACTATGAACGATTCACTGCATATACTATTTACTCAGTGCAGGGAACTACAAATACCAGCAAAACCATATCAAGTGTGCATTTGTTTGTATGTATACCTTGTTACTGAAAAGCATGCCATCTGCTTTTGCAGATCGGGATGCCGAGGAAGCACCACTATTGGAGCCTTGTGGCTGGCAGGTCCGGATTGTCTTCACACTGTCGAAGAAGAATTCAACGTTATATAGACTTCTAGGATCAATAAAACAAATCTTACATGGACTTAAAGCACTTCAGTTAAAATATAAAAATAAATAAAAATCTAGAACGAAATGTGGTCTTGATACCTCCCAGCAGCGGAGAAAACCTTCATGAGGTTTTGGTGGCAATGATCCTCAGGCAAATTTTCAGCGACAACTATGCGAGACTACAGAAGATCAGAATGCAAATCAGATGATAAGAGGAAACACAGATTTACAATGAGCCTTTACCAGAGTATTGTAAAAATAAAAAATAAATCTTTTGCTTGATATGCTTAAAATACCATTGTTTAAAAGACCGAATCACAAAAATCTTGGCATAAATCAACGTCCCAAACCAAAACATTTATCCTAAAATGTATATAGGACTGAATACAAGCAAAACCTACTTGCAATTCTTCCATATCTAACTGAGTGAGGGGATGCAGACGTCTAACTTTCTTTCCATCTTCATGAACTACCTGCAAAAGATGACATCATTAAAGATCAAAACAAAAGGACAGATGAAAAAACTGATACATGAGTGAGGCGGAATATGTTTTTACTTTTTAGAGAGAAGGACAAAGCAAGAGCATATATATATAAAAGTTCGAACTCACCAGCTTTGAAGAGTTGCGCAATACAGTTGCAAGCTGAGAATTACCATTTATGAGGGCCTTAATCTTCTTGAAAGATGCAACAACAGAGATTGGCACTATATCCGGGTGAATATTAAACAGTTAATAATGATAAAATTTCAATCAATGGATATTGAGTCGAACTCTAGAACACATTCGAAAGCATAAGAAAATATTGAGAAAAGGAAAAGAAGAAGAGGTCACCATATCCTTCAGGATCTTTGTTTATGAACCTCATAAGATGATCAGTAGTAGCCAAGTTTAAATCGCTGAAATAATACTCCACCTGCAATATGCCAATATGTTAATGTTAGGCCAACCAAGCCAAACCAAACCAATATGAGGCAGGCAAAGTGAAATTTAAAAAGAAATTGAGATTACACTTTTTGAATCTCAACTTGGCGACTTACAAAAATCACCGGAGTTTGGAATTGCTAACGATATCCTCCTAAGGCTCCTATATCCTATCAAGGGTTTAGGTAATCCTAATAATACACGCACGTGCGTGTTTGTGTTGTACTTTATACTCGACTGTTAGTGTTGGATATTCAAACATTAGGATCTCGGCCAATACAAAAGAAGCTAACAATAACTTGATTGAATAAGCGCTGGGGACAGACAGACAGACTATGAATTATCAAGTAACCTGATTCAAAATCTTGGAGGTAGCTTCATCGGAAAGCCTGTGAGTCTTGGAGGAGGAGGAAACACGATCCGCCTGACCTTGCTCGCCCAACTGCTGCTGCTGATGATGCTGATGCTTCTGTTTCTGCTGCACGGCCACTTCCTGGTCTCCAAATCCAGAGTAATGATACTGGTGGTGATGATGGTAATGGACCGGCAAGTGATGATGCGGATGAACTGGGACCGGAACCACGTGAGGAGGAGGAGGAGGAGGAGGAGGAGGAGGGGGAGGAGGTGGGATGGCCTGGATCGGGACATGGAAGGGGGCCGAAGGCGGCGGCGGCGGAGGATAGACGTGGACTTGACCTACAGCCGCAGGAGGCACTGCCGGTACGGATGCGTGCGCAGTGGCGCTGCGATTGGGGACGAACTCCGCCGCCTGGGCGTTGAGGCGACTGAAGGAAACGTTTCGGGATAGGGATGGATCTGATAGAGAATCGGACGACGGGGATTCACCCTCTGCCATTCGATTTTGATTAGTTGTCGCAATCTTGTTTACTTTGGTTGAGGTCTTTGGTGAGAAGACTGAGAGAGTGAGATAGAGAGAAAGCAGCCCTGTGAGGGGCGGAGACGACAGTGGAGAGGACTTCTCGGGTTTCAGGCTGCTTCCGATCCTCGCCAATTTATACCTTTAACTATCATTCTTCGTCTCGGAGTCGGATTGGTCCATGTGGACTTTTGGTGGAGTGTGGGGCCCTCCTCTTTTACTTCTCATCGTCATCTTCTTCTTCTTCTACTTCCTGCCCTTACTACTGCGCGAGTTGTACCATCTGAAGTGAACAGGAACAACACTCCTCCTCTTCAAGATTCTGTCTTCTGTTTTCATCCCTTTCCATTTCATCTTCTCACATTCTCTATTTTATTTTTTATTTTATAATAAAAAATTAATATAAGGTATTAATTATTTTTTTTTTTATGAAAAATTAAAATAAGATATTAACGGACTTTAATTATGATTGTTCAAGTATAAAGAGAGAAGAAGAACCGAAAAAGGAAGGGAAAAACCCTACTCCCCTCCTCCTCAATGTTGTGTCCTCATCGTTGTACTTGGACGCGGACTGGAGACTGGGACTTGGGCCTTTCTTTCTGTCGGCGTGACTTGGCTGGCCCCTTACCATACTCTTCTCTCTCTCTCTCTCTCTCTCTCTCTCTCTCTCTCTCTCTCTACACGGCCGATGCCTCTTGGACCATTTCTAAATGAGATATTAAATTTTAAATTTTAAATTTAAATTTGAAGACTTACATGACATTTTGATATCTTCTAAAATTTTATTCGCTAACTGATATGCTAAATTTTAAACATAAAATAAAATTTTATATGTATTTTCTTTGCATTGGAAATGAAAAGAAACAAAAGGATAATGCTTTAAACCAATAAACAATTAATAAAAAGCATTTAATAATTAATTAAAATTTTTTTGAAGGTGCTGTCAAATTTGACAACAAGGAGGAGAGATGTCATTCAATGTCATGCCATATTAGATTTGTTTTCTCGGTTGGAAAACATTAATGCTGTCTTTTATTACTGTTATTGCTGATTTAGACATTTTAACATCTCATTTGGAAATGCCCTTACTATACCCATCACACACACACTCTCTCTCTCCACGGTACACCAACATAATAACGTACCATCCTAATAATGCTATATGTAAGTTTATTTTTTTTCATATAACATGAGTATTGGTTCGAGACACTACATTAGAAAAACACTCCTTAACCTCATTGTTGTTACACTGAATTGAACTGCTATTGCACCCGATTGTTATTAAACCAACCAATAGATAGATTTGAAGTCCTTCAACGGTTGGATTCTATCCAACTTCTTACATTACTAACCTATTTTCAATTGCCAAAATTGATCATATAATCCCATCATTTAATACGTTTGTTAAGCGACATTGAAAATCTTACCCCTACTGTTCATACTGAAAATAACGATATACTCTCACGAACATCTTTGAAGATGATCTTAAAACGATCAAAGAAAGAAGAAGGGAGAAAAATACACAAGTTATCTCCACCTTCAACTCTTGCTTCTGTCAATCTCTTGTCATGATCAAACTTCATCTTCATTAACAAACTTATTGCAGGGCGAGGCAGAGTCAATACACTAGCTGCTGCTTATTTCCTCCTTTTTAATTCAAATTTCTTCTTAATCGCATCCCTAAACGCAGGGATAGCAACTTCGTTGGGAACTTCTTTGAATGATGGGAGGTAATTTACATCAACAATGACATGGTCGCCGGTGCCTTCCTCAATCTGTACCCACATGACACGGAAAAATCGTCAAAAGTGGGACACAATATATCCCAGCCACACATCAACATAGTATTTCAGCTTTACTCACAACAACATCGAAGCCGAAGAAGGTCAGTCCAAGCTTTCTCATAAGCCAATTAGCTGCACTAGTTACCAACTCAAGATCAGTGCAGTTATTAGTGGCCTTTGAGCTATTACCATCTCCAAAATTCAGGTTCCCTTTGGCAGTGAATAAGGATTTTAAGCTGCGAAGGATGATCACCACGTCATGGGTCATCCATTACATGCATCAACAAACTACAACCAACAGGAGAGGTAGAGGAGTAGAAGGGGAAGCAAACGTGCTACCTGTCAAAGACTAACGGTTTGAGCTCACTACTCCCAGATAATTTCTCCAAGCCACCTGCATTTGGAGTAGAGCTCTTAAACGCATGATAAACTTTCTCGCCCAAGACGTAAAATTTGTAGAGCGTTGATGAATGATCCACATATTCCTGCAATTCCAAATGTTTTCAAAGAAAAACCCTGTAAGCTAGCAAGCATGCACACGTGTGACCAACCATATCTTTACTTTAGCACCTATTTTGAATTAAAAAACATTGCATTAGGTTGGAGTAAATTAACTCATATATCAAACATATCAGGTTAAGAGGCTATACCAACTTCATCGAATGAAAATTAAATCTTTATCGCCTGTATAATTGCTGGAAGAGGAACAGTCAAACCCTTGAAATCTTCGACTCTAAAAACTATTGCCTGTAATGTAAGGGTTGAATTTTTAATTTAAACAATACGACAGGGATGGTGAATTTGGATGAAGAAGAATAGCAACTTGATAAACATGTATGCTTCCCATATCTCATTTCAATATTACTGGCTCAGCAATCAATTCAATTCATTTAGCAAATAGATATAAAGACCTTTCAGAGATGGTGCTAAATGCAATCCAATATGACGCGGAAACGAGAAAATACTATTTGCAGCTATGTGACTATAATCCCTTTCTTTTACTAATAAATAAAGCATTACCATGCTGTGAGCATCAGCCACACCACAAGCAACTTGAGGTTTTTACTAAGAGCTATGTAGCTTCGGAGAGCCTTTTAACCAAATCAGACTGGTTAAAATCATCAACCTGCGCACATATAAATAATAATAATTATAAAATAAAACCATTCTTCTTGTTGTATGCACAAAATGCTCAACCATTTCCTTAAGATAGCCAGTGACTTAGTAGACTACGCTGACAGGATATATCCATGACTATTTCTGCCAAAAATTGCTACAATGTTTACCGAGAAAGTATCTGCAACTTAAATAATCAAACAGTTTCCCTTTAGTTTGCGAAACCATTGTGAGAAAGCAAAAAACACACATGCACACACCTTAGAAAATTAGGCCCCTAATTGTGCAGAAACCTGCGGCCTTGAGATCCTCCAACCCAAGTAGAATCTGTTGAATTTTCAATCGATCTTACTACAGGATAAATAGACCTAAGTGGGTCAATCACACAGAGGTCCAGGTGATGTTACAAATATCTGTGTAAGAAAAAAAGATATTAAAAACAAACCATATGGATACTACTATGTTATATAGTGCTCTTTTGCACAATCCAATACCGGGACACGCTTTGGTGCATGGTATCAAAATGATTATTTGAATACAAAGTACAAGAAATAAAGACTATGAATATGATGAAGAAGGTCTAAAACTAACATTAGAGGGAGGGATATATTTACGGAAGGCTGAAGCGTATAAACTACATACTTATGCATTTACTGATGTCATGTCACAAAACTAGGCATGAGTATAAATGCCACAAAGTGGAAATTCATCTCAAATTCCATGCTTACAAGCAATATGGAAGAAAACATGTCCCTTTTTTTCCAATGCATAGGCCATTAAGCTAGCTGGAGAGGAAAAGCCGAATACATAAAAACAAATAGTCAAAGGCAGTAGGAATAGTAGGATATGGACAGCAGCGTTACTCTGAAAAACCTTTCTATTCATTTAGCAAATAGTCAAGGGAAACTCGTGTAGTTTGTTGATGTACACCATGCTTGAACTCTCACACGTGGATGTGGTGCTGCCTTCAACATCTGAAACCAAAATAATTTGCATTTCAGCCAACAACAGGACACGATTGACGGTCAAAAAAAAATGTTGGGGAAAGCATGAAAGTGTGATACTCACTTAGAAGGGTGATCAGCCAACGCATTTGCTTAGTTTAGAAAACTTGTCTTGCTTGTTGTTGGGAACTAGGTACAAAACACGGGCTCGAGTATTAGGCCAAGCTAGCATAACCCCGTGTATAGCTTCGTCTATGGAGGATGAGGATGCATCTAAGAGGAAGCAATGGATGGAGTAGTGTGCCGCCATTTCTTTGAGAATATTAACCTATATATGCCAAGAGACAAGATTGAAGGTACAATTTTTTCTTTTCTTTCCTTGTTTAATTAAGATGGAAGAAGAAGAAGAAGGGTGTAAGTGTATGTAACAAAAAAGGACTTGGAGGAAAATGAGAAGCTTTACCATATGAGCTTCAAGACCTGCTCCATAAGAAATTCCCTGCATGCAAAGATAAGCGAAACAAGAACGAATAAAAAAGATTAATTAACAATAATTTCGTTATTTTGATCGGGGAATTGTAAGGTAAAGGACAAATCAAAGAAAAAGAAGCGAGAGAGCGAGTAATCATGTGATGGTGTGATGGGAAGAAATCGTGATTTGACATGACAGGCTGAATAAACAATTTTAGGCATTACATTGGGCAGAAGAAGAAATGGCCATGGAAAATTGAGAGCAGATGCACAAAATGGGAACAAAAATAGCCAAAGGGAAAGTAGTAGTAGACTAGTAGGAGGATGGCCGACCGTAGGAGCGTTGGAATGGCGGAGCTTACGGAGTCGTCTCGTTGCAAGTTACAGTGGTATCACCAAAAAGTAGACACTCGTCCAATATCACTCATCCGACACCGCTACCACACACGCTCGCCAGCTCTCTTTGTGTCTCAGACTCTAATGGTAAACTATTAATGGAAGGAAGAAACAACCATGAGCCACTGATATGTATCGGGCAGGTCATGGACGGCGAAGGCGATGAGGAGAAAGGGAGATTCGACCCACCTTTGATTACATCTTCTTTACCGGGAGTCAAAACTGCACGGCTGCACCTGCGCCTCGAGAGGCGAGAGCAAGCGACTTGTGTTTTTTACAGGCTATTTTCGTGAAAAGAAACAAGGAGAAGGGTAGTTTCGT